GAATTTTGTTAATCACGTAGCGGTTAGATTACCAAATAAAAACAGTTGGTCAAAAATTTCCACGTTCTTCAGCATTCTTCTTTTAACCATTTTCTTCATCTTCTTTATTGTGTGTTTTCCTTTGTTAGTGGTTTCCTTAATTGGCGCTTTGCATGTGCCCGTCGCCATCTTCCTTCTTCTTTCGATCACTTTTATTCATTATTGTGTCGTTTTCTTTCTCCCGATCTTCGTTTTTGTTCTCCCCTTTCTCTTTCTTCTTGTTCCTCTTCTTCTCCTGTTCCTTCGATTTCTTCTCCTCTCTTCTCTTCGCATTTTTAGGTTGGAAAGGCGATCGGCAGATATTTTTCAAGGTAGGTTCTTGTCCGTGTCCGTTTTATTTTTGGTGGACTTATAAGCAGGTTACTTTAACTGTTTATTAATTTGAATTTTAGGAAATCAGATTTGTCAGTCGTAGAAAAGTCTTCTACACATTGCCAGCCTTTCTGACGCCTTAATTTTAGACATTACCTTATATCAGTTTCATTATGAAGATCTTCACCTCAGGGTAAGAAAATCTACCTAGTCTCCTGAGATCCACTCAAGGGGTTTATTAGGTCTGATCTTGTGGGTTCTAAGGCCTCTTTGTTGTACGGGGCAGAAACATGCGCTCAGATACCTAGGTATACGCATAATCATATACAGGATATATATGCATGCTCATAATAGAGGAAAGTGCGCATGCAGTTCACACACATTCTACAGAATGCATAGCTGATACATTGACTCGCACATTCACACCACACACACACACACACACACACACACACACACACACACACACACACACACACACACACACACACACACACACACACACACACACACACTCAGACTCAGACTGACACTCACATTCACACACACACTCAATCACTCACACACACACTAACTCACTCACTCTCATTCTCTCTCTCTCTCCCTCTCCCTTTTCCTCTCCCTCTCCCCCCCCCCTCTCTCTCTCTCTCTCTCTCTCTCTCTCTCTCTCTCTCTCTCTCTCTCTCCTCTCTCTCTCTCTCTCTCTCTCTCTCTCTCTCTCTCTCTCTCTCTCTCTCTCTCTCTCACACACACACACAGATACACATTAACACACACCAAAGAATAAAAAATCACTTGTATAATAAACCCACACTTCAGCGTACTTCTCGACCCACCAAATCCACATAAAGATAGACGGCGAAAAATTACCAAATTAATAACATAGATAACAACCACATCCACTTCATATCCACTTAGAATCCTCTTTTTATCGTATCTAAAAGTCCATTTGTCCATTATTGTTGTATGTGAACTTAAGAGTCCGAGATTGGGTGCTGTTATCTCTCGTTATCACTGTCTGTTGCCACGGGAGATTATGTTCTCACGATGGGACGGGAAGATGTAGTTTTTATATCTATGTGTTTGTGTGTCTATCTGTCTATTTTTCTGTGTATCTATCTCTTAATGCGTCTGTAAGTGTCTCCTTGTCCACCTACTCTATTTATATATGTATATATCTTTTTATCTATCGATCTAACAATCTGTCTCCTTCTCTCTATATATATCTGTCTGTCTGTCTGTCTATCTATCTATCTACCTAATGGGAGATTTGCTTTTTAAGGGGATTATCATTAAATGATATCGACCTTCGTAAATAAATGTTATAGTGAATAAAAATGAATGTTATTATAGAAATGCTAACATCAACAGATAAGGATAAAATATATAGAATTGTATTCGTCTTTTAATCATACAAATACCGGTAAATACTAAAGCTGATAATGACTAGAAAGAGAATACTTACAATAATGGCAATGATGAGATGATAATAATGATGTCAAAGATAATGATAATGATAATAATGATACCATCATAATGATAATGAAATGATAAAGAATAGTGATAATGATAATATCATAATAATAACTATGATAATGATAAAAGAATAATGATAAGGAAAACCACAACAAAACTACTAATTATGAAAATAACAGCAACGCCACTGATCGTATTAATGGAAAAGATAATCTTGAAGAATTAGGAAGATAATGCTATCCACAGGACTTGAAGTTAAGGGTCAAATATTACTGCTCTTGATAAGTGTTTCAAGAAGCTTAGATAGTGCTATTCCAACGAGAGTTCATTTGAGCTTCTCGTAAAGTGATAATTTTATATAGATAAGGATGTATCTAGATATATAAACATGGATAAATGTCTAAGCGCTTGGATATGTCCAGATATAAGTGGATGGCTGTCGATTATTAATAATGATAATAATAAAATAAACAAATTGGAGAAATACAAGAACATGATAAAGATAGTGATAGTGTTTATATAATGACTGGATAAGTTTTTCCGTATTTTTGTACCCGAATTATAAAAGATTTCTCAAAAATGTTCAATATACATATCTCTACGGTATATTTTCATTCTTTTAGTTAATATTCGCTTTTTGAGGTTCCTTTTCTTTGAAAGCTTTTGGATGTATAATATTATATTATAATATATATTATATATATAATAATATATATGTATATATATATATATATATATATATATATATATATATATATATATATATATTATATATATATATATATATATATATATATATGTATACACACACATTGACACAACACACACACACACACACATATATATATTATATATATATATAATATACTATATATATACTATATATATGTATATATATAGTATATATATATATATATATATATACTATATATATCATATAATATATATATATATATATATATATATATATATAATATATATATATATATATATATATATATATATATATATATATATATATATATATATAATATATATATATATATATATATCACATGCTGTAACAGAACTGAAAGAATAAAAGACAAAAAAGACAATCGGAAAAATACTACAGGAGGGCAAGAGAACACACGGGCGACAGAGGAACGTGCAAAACCGCCGCGCCAACGATAATGTGGGGCTAAAATGTTTGGGCTCCCTGGGCTTTGTTTACATTCGAGGCGGTGTGGTTCTCCCACTGCCTCCGAAGGCTGTGCGGGTTTTCAAATATACATTTCAACTTGTTAAATATACAAGGATGAGGGCTGTTGGTGAAAGAAAGAGAAAATGAGCAGACTTCAGGAGAAGAGAGGACAGAGAGAGCGAGAGAGCGAGAGAGAGAGAGAGAGAGAGAGAGAGAGAGAGAGAGGAGAGAGAGAGAGAGAAGAGAGAGAGAGGAGAGAAGAGAGAGAGAGAGAGAGGAGAGAGAGGAAGAGAGAGAGAGAGAGAGAGAGAGAGAGAGAAAGAGAAGAGAAAAGAGAAGAGAAAGAGAAAGAGAGAGAGAGAGAGAGGAGAGAGAGAGAGAGAGAGAGAGAGAGAGAGAGAGAGAGAGAGAGAGAGAGAGGAGAGAGAGAGAGAGAGAGAGAGAGAGAGAGAGAGAAAGAGAGAAAGAGAGAGAGAGAGAGAGAGAGAGAGAGAGAGAGAGAGAGAGAGAGAGAGAATTTGCGTACTCGTGTACGGGTTGATTCATATATACAGAAGGGACATTGAACATTGCATCATACATACTTACTTATGTACTTACATATATGCACACCTGTATATATATATATATATATATATATATATATATATATATATATATATATATATATATATATATATATATATATATATATATATATTAATTATGCTCATATACACACGCACACACATACACATCTATACAGATATTCAAAAATTAATATATACATTCATACATATCCTTTACCTCTTTTCCCCCTCCTTTGTCTCCTTCCCTCGTTCATTTTTTTCTCTCTCTCTATCTTCCCATATTTACCTCACTCCCATTCCTCGGTCCTCCTTCACATATGTCCTTCCCTCCACCCCTATCCCCCCTTCTCTCCCAACCTTCCTCCATACCACCCTCTCTCTCTCTTTCCCATCTTTCCCCTCTCGTTCTTATACCTTCCCTCTTCCTCTTCCATCCCAACTTCCCTCTCCCTCTTCACTCCCTCCCTCCCCTTTCCATTCTCTCCTCTTCCCCCCAACATCCCTCTCCCTCTCCCTCATCTCTTCCTCTCCCTCTCCATCTCCCATAACCCCACTCATCTCCCTCCTCTCCCTCTTCTCTCCCTCCCTCTCCCTCTTCCATCCCCTCTCTCCCTCTCCCACCCCAACCTCCTCTCTCTCAACCTCCCATCCACCACCTCCCACTCTCTTCTACTCTCCCTCTCCCTCTTCCTCTCCCTCTCCCTCTCCCACCCCATCTTCCCTCTCCCTCTCCCACCCAAACCTCCCTCATCCACCGCCCCCATCCCCTCTCCCCTCTCCCACCCCAACCTCCCTCTCCCTCTGCTGACCACGACAGTACAAGCGATGTTACTCCGAATGTTTACGCTTCTACCCGCCGTCTTGCCCCCTTACGTCACGCATCTTCCCGGATATTTGTTGACGGAGGAAGCGCTTCTCGGTTTGGCGAAGGAGGTCTTCCCTTAGTCATCATCTGAATCACGGATGTAGTCTTGCTGGAGAGGTGAAGGACCTTTGGGAGTTCGGCTTGGATGGGGTTATATTTTCATGATTTTTTTCTCTTTGTTTTTTGTGATATGTGCGAATGCAGAGACGATAGAGTAGAGTAGGTAGATTAGAGAGAGAGAGAGAGAGAGAGAGAGAGAGAGAGAGAGAGAGGAGAGAGAGAGAGAGAGAGAGAGAGAGAGAGAGAGAGAGAGAAAGAAAGAAAAAAACATTGCATTACCCGTAAATATTTCCTGACAGGGACTGGCGGGTACAAATAAGATTTCATAACAATCCTATCAAGCAGGCTGTTCCCCGGACTTATTAGTTTATACAGTAAGTGAATAAGTCTCACTTCAAATCACTTTTTAAGACAGTGGCATTCGATGGGAGTTTTATTCTTATTTATTTATTTTGTGAAGTGAATTTAGTTCACTAAATAAAAACGAAAACATTAATTCTATGAGTTGTTTTTAGGTTACTTTTACATACCCCCTCCTTCTGTCTCCCTCTCTCTCTCTCTTCCTCAGTCTCACTCAATCTCTTTTCACTCTCCTCTCTCTCTCTCTCTCTCTCTCTCTCTCTCTCTCTCTCTCTCTCTCTCTCTCTCTCTCTCTCTCTCTCTCTCATATATATCCTCTATATATATATATATATATATATATATATATATATATATATATATATATATATATATATATATATATATATATATATATATATATATATATATGTATATATATATATATATATATATATATATATATACATAAATAAATATATAATATATAATATATATATATATATATTCATATATATCTATCTATCTAGCTCTAGCTCTCTTTCCCTCCTTCCCCCTCTCTCTCTATCTCTGTTTGTCTCCCCTCTCGTTCTCGCTCTTTTTTTGTCTTTGTCTCTGTTCCTCTCTCTCTCTTTCTTTCCTCTTTTCTCCTCTTCTCTCCCTTGCATCTACTTTTTTATCACATGTCTCCTGTTTGGATAAATGCAGATGAAAGAAAACATTTAAAAGCGTTTGTGCATATTTGTACATGCATATATTTCTGCTTTCCTTTATGTATGTATTTTCATATACATCCGTATTCATCTACACACACACACACACCACACACACACACACACACACGCACACACACACACGCGCGCGCACACACACACACACACACACAAACTCCTATAAAAAACAAATCAAATGAAACAAACATTATAGAACAAATGCACTACCCCATCGATCGATTTCCCGCCCTCACCGTTGACCTTCCCTCCGTTCTTCCCTCCCCCATAGGCGTGGGCATGATGCTCCGTAAGCTGGGCTCCACCTCCAAGCCCACGGTCGAACTCAGCGAAGAGAACGGGGTGTGGACCATGAAGACGAGCACCACCATGAAGACGACCGAGATCAAGTTCAAGCTCGGTGAGGAGGTTTCGGAGACCACCTTCGACGGGAGGGAGTGCAAGGTTAGTGTGTGGGGTGGGTGGGGAGGTATGTGTGTGTGTGGGGAGGGGGAGGGGGAGGACGAGTGGGGGAAGGAGGGTTTTGTGTAGGGTAGTGTGTGTGTTTGGGGTGGAGTGGGAAGGAGGGTGTGTAGGGGGAGGTTGTGTCTTTGGGGAGGGATGTGTGTGTGTGGAGATAGGGGCGTCATTTCGAGCGGCTGGGGGACTGTTGCCCCCACCCGTCCAAGATTCTGAAGGTCTGGCTTGCCCCTCTTCTCATGGGCGACATTTTATAATTTTTGTCATTGAATTACGCCTACTGAATTTAGGTCCATCCGGTTATAGCTTAAAAAAGACCTACAATAGTTTTTTTTCACTTCGCTCGCCAAAATGATGACCCTGTGTGGAGAGGAAGGAGGAGTGTGTGTAAGGAGGGGGGGGATGTGTGGATAGGAGGTATGTGTGCATGTCTGTGTCGGGGGATTATCTGTGTGTGAGGTGTGTGTGTGTGTGTGTGTGCTTCATTAATGATATGAAATGGGGTGTATATGTCCTTGGATTTTTGTGTTAGTGTACGAAAAAGGATTATATTCACATTTTCACAACTGAAAACATTATTATCCTCATTACTATCAATATCATTGTCTCTTAATATTTCATTTGGCATATTATTCTGGCATTTGTCATCCATGTATATATTATATATATATATATATATATATATATATATATATATGTATTATATATATATATATATATATATATATATATATATATATATATATATATATATATATACTGTATTTACACATTGATTACTAAAAAGACAAACCCTTTCGAGTCAGAAATAAAAAAAAATTCAAATCGTAACCGTCATTTCTCTTCCACGGTGACCGTTATTTTAACCGTCCACGCGAAATATTTACCTCTAAATCGAGCTAATATTTACTCTTTCCCGCAGACAACATTCACAATGGAAGGTGAAAAGTTAATCCAGGTTCAGAAGGCGACGAAGGGGAAGGACTGTAAATTCACACGAGAATTCACAGACACACAGATGATCATGGTGAGTCTTTTTATGAGTTTGGGGAGGGGGAAGTCCCAATGTTAGGTATGAGTGTATATGTATGTGGAGAGGAGGGGCGGGGGGCCGTGTGTGTGTATGGTATGTGTGTGTGTGTGTGTGTGTGTGTGTTGTGTGTTGTGTGTGTGTGTGTGTGTGTGTGTGTGTGTGTGTGTGTGTGTGTGTGTGTGTGTTGTGTGTGTGTGTGTGTGTACGTGTGTGTAAATATGTGTGTGTGTGTGTTTGATTCATTGTTTTCTTCACAAGAAAGGAAATCCTGAGGAAAGTGAAGACATACAAATCAGAGAGAGAGAGAGAAATAGGCCTAAATAGGTGCCTCCTTATTGCGTGGGGAGAGAAAGATTGGCAAGGGAAGAGAGAGAGGCTGGAGGGGGCAGGGGGAAAGAAAGGGAGAGGGGGCGGAGCAGAAAGGAGGTTGGGGGAAAACCCGGTTAGTAACAGGAAGTACAAAACTGTATCTGTTTTCCTAGCATCCCTTATGTGACTACATTATACATCCAACCTTTATCCAATGCTTCAGAAATCATTTAAATATAGTTAGCCCTCAGATAAGCACTGTCTATCACCTCAACCCAAATACCAAACAACAAACGAGAATTCACTAACAATTCCCGGCATATTTATAACATTAAACACCCATCATGTATTGCCCTTCACGGCTTTTAACCCACATTTATATTCTGTTCTTTTATCATATACATATTTCTTTTATCAATACCCACAACCGACATCTTACGACACCCCCCCCCCCCCCCCGACTCGCACTCCCCCCCGTCCCCCGCCCCCTCTTTCCCCCTGGCAACGAGGGTGCGCTTGTACTTGCTTCCTTGACTGACTGCCTGACATCAAACCCTCACTGCGTGTTATTGACCCTCCTGGCCGTGTCAGCGAGGCTACGCTCTCCTCCCTGTTTCTAATGAGCTATTGCTGTTCCCGAGACTGTGAACCTTGTCATTACGCCTTGTGAAATGGGCTTGAATTGATGATGATGGCCGTGGTGAGCCCGGGTGCTGGTTTGATGGTTTCCAATGGTGTGTTTGCGGGTTAAAAAAAGAAAAAAATCGGATGCAAGGAGTAACGCTGGTTCGTATATGTGTGTGTGAGGTCATATGCGGATGTTAGCGTCTGACAGCGTTATTATAGAGTATCTTTTGTGTTCTAGTACATATAACCAAACGCGTTACCGGTTAATAGCTTAGGTAGAAAAATCACTATGGACTTATCCTCAGTATATTTGCATTTAAATCTATGTTGATACAGCTAGTAACGTTTATGCTGATTACTACAGTAATGATGGAAATACAATCAAGAACGTGGAGTGGCATATGAAATGAAAAATGTAATGGTTCTAATGATGAGTTGATTGAAATAGCTTTGTTAAAAACAGTGAGACTAACCCTAACAATAGCAATGATTAGATGATACAAATATTGTTACACCGCCACTACAGCAATTGCAGTACTACCATGATAAATATACTAGAAAAACAAAGAAACAAAAGAGGAAACGGAGAACGTGCATTGAGCAAGCACCTTTCCCTACATAGTAGCAGTTAGCCCTGACTTTTCTTCCAAAGAATCGTTATTCGTGTATTCTGTGCGTTCGGTTGTGTGCGTCTCACCCGGACACCTCACGGATGTAGAAGTTCGTGTACTTTGTGTGTGCGTGTGTTTGTATTCGTGCATATTTGCGTGAGCTCGTGTGTATGTAGTGCACAGACTTTTCCCCAGTTAACGTCCAAGGCAAATCTAAACAGAAATAAGTAGTAAACGCGCGCACTTCTCCCTCAGCTCTCCGAATGCGACGGCGTTGTGTCCAAGAGGATCTACAAGCGCCAGTGAGTCTGCGGGCGGAGGAGGCCTTCCAGCCGAGCCCATGACGTCAGCGGCTTCCTTTGTCTGCACTCTTTGCTGTTCCGCTTTTCTCTGTTTCTTGCTCCTTTTCCTTTGCTCTTTGAGTTTCATGCTATTACTTTTATATTGCCCTTTGCTCTTATTTTCTTTCACTCTATTTCCCTCTTTTTCTTTCTCTTTATCATTCCCTCCCTATTCGAAATCTTCCATTTCTGCTTCTTTTTGCATCTGCTTCTTGTTCTTCCACATCTGTTTCTTCACTGCTCTTATGTGCATCATCAGTTAGTGCACACAGACACACATCACAATGGATTGTGTAAACGGAATAAGCTCCTGAATTATCGACATTTTGTGTAAAATATTTGCTTTATTAAAAAAAGAAAGTCAAGTTTATCATTTTCGGCTTCTCATCAACATATGCTGTCCACTTGCCTGAAAACTTTTCTTTTTTATTTAAGATTAAAATGTATGTAATATGTCGTTGTTTGAATTGCACCTGCAAACATATATACGATTCTTCTGTTTCGGATGATTTGCAAAACATAATAGGATTTTATTGCATTTTTTAATTTTTTTTATCAGGAAATCTGATTTCTATTTATATCCCATGTTCTATACATACACATTTATATAGACATTTGACTAAAGCACACGTTAAAGAGTATTGGATTTTACCGAAATATAACTGAACTAAATTACTCTAATATTACCGTAGTTCAATACAAGTTAATTTAGACGTGTATCCATCATCATCCAGTACATTCTTCACAATGAAAGTTTTATTTTATGACTTTCTTTTTAAAACTGTTTTGCCTCCAAGCTAGGGTACAGCGTCCAACTGGTAAGCAATAAAGGCGGAAGTGCTTTCTGCTCAGTGTCCGTCTCCCAGATCCTGTAGGCGGAAGTCCTTCGGTCATGGGATCATTCGAGTCCGTGGATATTGGTATTGGGGCCTTTTGCATTCAGTTGCAAAGCACGAAATGCCGAGTGGCGATGATTCAAACGTGTATTTTATAAGGCTACATTGTTATCCTTGTATGATACACGTGTGAAGTGAAGCTATACTTTTGCTTCCTCAGGATTATCAACAATGGACCTGCGTTATATCGAGGCATTTAGGAATACACACTGTAACAATAAGGTTAGGATCTGATTTCCGATACTCTTATTAATTGAGAAAAAAAACTCAGATTTCACTCACAGCAATGTGGTATAAAGGTAAGTGCGGGGATGATTGTGTGATTGTGTGATTGTGATTGTGATGTGATTGTGTGTGTGTGTGTGTGTGTGTGTGTGTTGTGTGTTGTGTGTGTGTGTGTGTGTGTGTGTGTGTGTGTGTGTGTGTGTGTGTGTGTGCGTGTGTGTGTGTGAGTGAGTGTACGTGTGTGACGTATCAGAACTTTTACAGTCCAGTGAAAAAAAAACATCTGGAGTACCAATTAATTCTAAATGAGCCATACATTGAATGATGTTCACAGTTCGACGGGTCGTGGCACTCACAACCCAAAAGAACTGCACCATCACTGGTTGAAGGAATCGGTAAGAACAGCTTCTCTTCTGGGTGAATATTATGCGCGATCATTTTCAATCAAGAACCATTTTCGCAACATGCAAATCATCAAATGCAAAAGAGTGCTAAAGTCTCCGGTCCCTGGGGCATTGAATTTGTAATGAGAAAGCAGGTTGATATGTGTATGCAAAAAAATCAATATGGTACATGTAATAGAAATCAAGGAATTCATCTTGCATTTTTAATTCCTGTTTTAGATAACCTATGAATATTTGTTTTATCTTGTTGATTTAAGCAATGGCGATTCCCTTAAAGTGCAGAAGTCTATAATTTGTTTAGTCCAGAAAACCTGTCACTTTGCAAACGGCTGTTTCCTGTGTTAAAACCAAAGGACAAGTTCTCCTTTAACAGTTAATGTGTTTTGTTCGGTTAGTTACCTTTACTTTTCTTTTTCTTTTTTTATTTTATGTATCAAAAGGGCCATAAGGGACACCTTTTTGGTTGAACCTATGATATCCTTTATATTTTATGTTACAATACTGTAACTGTTATTACACTCACATCAGGATAATACTGCTTCTGATATTTCTGCCACAACAAAGTATTTAGTTTGTGGACTGAAGGATGCATTATCCATCTTGGTATAGAGCATTCTTGGTATAGGAAAAAGATTCTTTAACCTGAAAAATCTGCTGGAAATTCATGACATCTATAAAGGTGCTGTAGGCCTTCACCTGTAATCACTGTATTCTGAGAACGGAGTGTCATTCCATTCCTGAACCAAATCCATTATAAAGGATTCCAATCCCTCCCAATGATGGGATTTTTTAAAACCCTCTTGTGAATAGTTATCCATGTAATAGGAGGGTAAGGAACCTCAATTAAAGCCTCTCTAGTATTCCAGCTGCTGGGACCAATCCAAACTGAGCTATATTAAGTCGGAATTCGGAAGAGGAGGTCCGAAGCAGAGGTCAGAAGGAGACTTCTAGACCCCCCCCCCCCCGCCCAGTACACAAACATCAGATGCCAAATAATTGCGAAAATCCAAAGGGTAAAGACCTTTCAAAAGCTTCAAGTTTCCCTGGATGCCATATTAACACCTACCAGGAGGACAAAGGATCTCAGACACTTTTATTGTGTTATATTACGACTCCCACTGCACTGTGATACCCGTTACCCTCTTGGGCAAACTAGCGTGAAACCGCATCTGGCGATAGAGACATATCTCCAACTATCGAATATCAAAAGTCGGATTGTTCATTCCAGCCGACAAAAAATTGTTTAACAAGGCATTATGCTTGCTTAAACTGTAGCTTAAGCCACATATTAATGCTTATGGAAATGTAGAAGCAGATTTTACAATGCATTTATAAACAGCAATTAATCAACGCTGATACTTTTACCTTATCCGTCGATGCATCAAAAGCATCATCTTTACTTTTCAAAATGACCTTTTTGCCAAGCATTTGAAACCCTAGTGTTCGCGGATGTGACATGTTCTGTTAGTATTTATTAACTTTATAGTATCGTTACTCAACTAAATCGCTCCATATTCTATTAGGTCATTCTTGTTTGTGTGGTGAATTTGGCTAATTGTGATCCTGGCAATTAATTACAATGTTAGACAGAGACAGAAACATTTACAACAGACAATGTGAACAAATACAAGACATTCTATTACAAGAAATAGCAGAAAAGGCGAATGTAATGTATCTTCATTAGCACTTCACATGTTTCATGCATCTCATCTCTCGCTCGTGATATAGATGTCAGGAAAGAAAATCGAGTAGCTTATCAATTTGATATCACCTTTCTTCAAAGGATTTTACACTCTGAACTGTATAATGATGCCGATTTAGCAGGTAAACCGTAAACACCCTAGTTATGCATGTTATGGCATGGATACTGTCGTGAATCACGGTTTTCGCCGTGACCACGACACAGTAGTATTGTTCAAAGCCTCCCACTCTCCCGTGGGTATGCTAAAATAAAGAAAAATGCCCTGCCATACAATGCTAGGAGCAAGTTTATTGTCATGGGGTGAGGATGTTCTGAACTCGCCCGAGCTTTGCCCGAGCTCCACGCATGGCATAGAAAACGCGCCGAAGAAAGAAAACGAGGCTCTAACTCGTTCCTTTTTAACGTGTTCTTTTTTATTCTTAATCTTTTTATTCTTTTTTTTTGTTATTAAAAGTTCCCTTCATGTTATGATTTATATCTAACGCACAAGAACACAAAACGAACTTAACGAAAAAATGAAAATAAGGATAGTTCTCATTTTAGTATTTTTCATTTCATTATTTATTATTCTTAAGTAGACTTTTGAAAGTTTTATGTACATTTATTTTGCAATTTTATTAGTTTTTTATCTGCTGTTTAAGTTATAATAAATTAGAGATCTCCACCCTTAAATTTTTCGCGCCAAGAGATTACGAGGGAAGTCAAAAGAGGTGAGATAATGGTCTTTGGGTTCTCGTGTTAGCCGGTCACTGGGAGAAAACCCCGGAATGGGTCTTCTCTTTTCTGTAAGATAAGCGGTCGTGAGAATATTCGCATTTAAGTAATAAAAGATATATCTGTTCATTAAAGCAGACAGAGGTGATATAGACCGGTGCCTCTTCCCTTGTTTTTATATAGTGAATTTACGTTCTTGTGTGTTAGTTTTATTTCATTTTATTTTTATTTTTTTGTGATTTTATGTTTTTGTGGTTTACGTTTTTATGTTTCATTTTGGGGTTTTACGTTTGTTTCATTTTATTGTTTTCTCTTATTGTTTTACTTCTCTTGGTCTTTTTCCTTCGTTTTTTTTTTGTACTTTCTTAGTGTCCATTTGACTCCTTTAATGTCCCGTCTTATTATTATTATTATTTTGCTATATTTTGATGAATGAAAAAGTTTATTAAAATGTTTGTCTGCATACACTCGTAGTCCTTTTTCTGTGAGAAGAAAGAATAACACCCTGAGGTTATGAGAGAAGACAAACATAGATGAAAGTCCCCCCCAAGTTTCTGTTTGCCCCCTCCCCCCAAAGTCTACCTTGCTATACGTAAGGGACAATTTGTTTCCTCTTTAAACTAAATTACACATATATAGGTTTGGTTATAGCAAAAAAAAAAAAAAAAAAAAAAAAAAAAAAAAAAAATCCAATATAGCTCTTTTTTTCTTAACTTCGCTTGTCTACCTACCCTGTACCCACTCTGTGCGACAACTTATTTGGTGAAAACCTTTAGTCAACTCTAAATTTCCAGCAAACCATACTGTTGCTTATTAAGTGACAAAACAATGTATCTGCCACGCATACAACAGGAGATCGATATATATTTTTACAAGTCATCCCTTGACCAGTCACTTTCTTTAGTGGGAACTTCGAAGTCAGAAATAAAGAAAATTGTATACCTTCAGGAAGCAATACAGCGAAAAGGCCTTCGACATATTCGTGTGTTTTCTTGTTCTTCTCTTCGTTGTTCCTTTGCAATTTGCTCGACATTAATTCCACAAGGTTTGGAGATAAGAAAAACAAACAAAGAATAGTTGATGACGAAGGGCAATCAAAAAAGAAAAATGTAAAGGTAGAGAGGAGAAGTTGGGAAGAGACGGAAAGAAAAAGTACATAGAAACAGAGAAAAGAGGCAAAAAGGAAAGAAAAAAGGAAAAATTGTCATAACGAGAAGACAAAAGAAGAGAGAAGAGAAAGCTGGAATAGAATAAAGAAGGGAGACAAACGAGGAAGAGGGACATAAATGTGAAAAGGATAGAATGGAGGGAGAGGAAGAGAGGAGAGGCAAAGACTAGGCGAAAGAAGAAGAGGAGGGGAAAAAGAGAAGGGGGAAACGGAAGAGAACTAAAGGGAGAGAGTGAATGGGAGGCAGATGAAAAGTAAAAAATGAGAATGATTAAATCGAGTCCATCACATCTTTCTTTTCCGAAAAGGGACTCCTTCGCCCTTCCTTCTCTCCCTTGTTTTTT